TAATTGCAAATTTTCCATTTAAATTATTTAGAATAGTTGTAAAATAATGAAACGGTGGCGAGAAGAGTTCTCAATAAATACATTTTATTACTTACGAGAAAAATTGTCGCGTCCGTTATGTCGCGTACGTTATTGTTTTTTTTTTTAATATAAAACTAGCCAGAGATAATTTCTCTTAAAATATGAGAGGATTGTAAAGGTACATTATTTAGCTTAGTTTAGGAGTTTTTAAAGAACAGAAAAACTCCCATGATTCGCAGACTTTCGCATATATGCGTGTTTCCATGAAAATGTAAACCGAAAATGCAAGCAAATGAATTCAAACGGCTTGATAACTTTAAATTTCGTATTCAGATGGCGGAAAAAGGTTTTGAAACCGCGAAACGGTGGAGAGAAGAACTGAAAAAATTTAATTTTGTATGTGTTACTAGTAAAAATATTGTATGGAGGAAAAATCTGTCACGTACGTTATGTCGCGTACGTTATTATAATTTTTTTTTTAATAAAACCTAACCAGAGATAATTTCTATTAAAAAATGGAAGGATTGTAAAGGTACATTATTTAGCTTAGTTTAGGAATTTTTAAAGAAAATAAAAACTCTCATGATTCGCAGACTTTCGCATATATGTATATGTGCTTTAAAACCACTTCCATTTTTGTTGCGTACGTTATCACCCGGTTTTGAACGGATATTTTCCACACCAAAGTTTCGAGGCTGCTTATTTTTTTCTCAAACATAGTACCCTTTGGTTGCAACATAACCGTAATCTTTTTTTTCAGTAACTTCTATTTTTGATAGATTTACGTTACTCTATAAGCGTACGAATGTCGCGTACGGCTGTATGGAAACACCCATATTTAACACATTTTCTTTTTTGCACCGCACCAAACTTGCACACAAATATGGATTTTTATGATTTTAGTTTTTTAAGCAATGAATGCCCTTTTTTATAATTTGTACTTGCGCGCGAGCCGCGGAACTGCGTTTTAATGAAATTTGATTTTTTATTTTCTCGGTTCTTTAAGTGGGTTTCGGCACCATGTTCACTTTCGCGTGAATAAAAGACGGTTGAATTTTTTGATAAGAGATATTTACATTCACTATTTTATTAAACTTCTACCTGGGTATATTACAATATATTTTCAATTGGACGACCGTTTATGTATAAGGATACCAAGCGATTGAAATTTGCATTTTTGACCTTAAGGTTACAGTTTCTTTTCCTAGCTTACATCTCTATGTATGTACAGGTTTGTGTTGAATGTTAAATTTATTAAGCAATTAAAGGTAAGTATTCAAGGTAAGTACTCCATTTTGTAAATTCATTATTACGAACTAATATTAGTTTTAAAATTCAATTAAATTATGACTCATGTCCTCGACATTTGGATAACAAAAAATATTTATTCTTCTCATTAGGCGATTCGGGGTATCCCCTGCAGCCCTTTTGATGACGCCGTATAGATCATCATCAGATGTAGTAGAAAGACGACACAATAATATACACTGTAAAGCTCGAAACATCATTGAGCGCTGTTTTGGAGTTCTGAAGAATAGATTCCGAAGTATAATTGGCTCAAGAGGGCTTCATTAGTCCGCAGAGAAGACAAAACAAATTGTGAATGCATGTTGTGCAATTCACAACATCTGTATATTTTACACAAATTATTTGTCCCTCATCCGAATCGAAGTTGAAGATGCTATTGAGCCAAATGATGAAGACCTAGTACTTGAGGATCTTTCTACAGTAGCAGCTAATATAAAAACACAAATAGCAAACAATTTATAATACAATTTCTCTAAATACACTTTTATTCGCAGAATTCATAGCATTTCTTGTTCATTAATATTAATCCATACTACTATTATTATAAACATAAAAAACGTTGGTTAAATTCAGTCAAATTAATGAATTCTATTCAGTTCAATACTATTGCTAAAAAATTATAAACAGCCAATTCATTTTAGGTACAGAGTACTTGCCATTTGTTCAGCAAAGTTAATTTTTTTTAAATCAACATGTCAAAAAAGAATAGACTCAGAGTGCAAAAAAACCAGTCCCATTTGTTCAACCTTATTTTTTAATTCGATAATTGATTATAAAAGTATGACTCATACTACAAAAATAACTTAATAATAAGAAGTCAGAACTTCAAACTTTTTGCTAACTTTAGGAAAACTGCAAATTTTCATCAAATTTGTCTTCTTTTTAGTCGAAGTTTTCCAATAAAAATGTGATTGAATAGTAGACAGTTTTGAGGAAAATTTGCGGAACGTTTCTAAATTTCGCAAAAAGTTTGAAGCTCTGATTTCTGAAATTATTGTTGTAGAATGAATCATATTTTTATAAAAAATTAGCAAATAAAAAAATTTTCGTTGAACAAATGGCCATACTTTTTTGAATTACTGTACATTTTGATTTAACAAAGTTATCCTTTGTCAAGTGGCTTAGATAAAAAAAAATATATAAATAGGACCCTAAACAAATTTGTCTTGAAACTTTCATTCGCCTGTGCTTGCCTGATTGTGATCTCGAGCAACTCTTTAAGCGTTTCTGCTATGGATCTGGTGGATTCAGTCTGAATCATGGCCGCTTCTACCATTTTTTACGCAGCTTCAGCTTGAATTTTTGCTGCAGAGGCTTGCTCCTTCGCTGACTCGGAAAGTTCTCTTCCGGCTGCTTTGTGGCGCTGATGCTGCAGGTATATGCCTTTTTGGTGTAATGATGGGTGTCACAACCAGTGTTGCCAGGTCTTCGGCATGAGAAAACGTCCCTCTTGGTGTGAAAAAAACGTAATTTCCTATCCAAAAGCGTCTTATTCAAATGCATGTACAAAAAATCGTTCTTATTAAACTTTTATTATATACAAAGGTACATATGTACGTAAGGTATATTAAAATGTCATTTTGACAGAGCACATTTAAAATTCATTGTAATCTGGTTTGAGATCGTTAATATAAAAGTCATTTTATACATACACTTGTGATCAGCTGATTAAGTCATCATCATTTTGATCGACTTTGGCTTTTTCTCTTTCGTTTATTTAATGTTTATTATTTTTCCATTTAAGTCAAGCTCATTATATAACAAACAAAATATAAATCCACATTTCAAACTTTCTGCAAAAAATATAAAAAATCTGCAAAGCTTCAGCTAGATTTTCAACTTTTTATTTCAGTCTAACCACGCCAACTGTGTCAATGAATTTTCATTGATTTTCTGGAAAGTGAAGATAGTTGTGGGAATCTGTAGATAATTATAGAACAAAAATACACTATGGACGGTTTTTCGAAATTGCACTTCGTTTTTGTTTTTTTTGGTATTATAAGAATATTGCAATTTTGAGAGAAAAATTCGTAACTCGCGACCCATTTGATGAAATTTTTTTTGAGAGTTGCTGAAGCTTTTCCCTTTACAATAGAAAGATTTGCAGAATAAAATTTGCAAAACAATTAATTCTTTAATAACAATAATTTAAACAATTGCAATTATTTATATATTCTAGGCCCGCGATTGCAGTGAAATTTTGGCACAATATACTCTAAACTCTTGTTTTTAAGTTCCAAAAAGAAAAAATTGGTATTTCCAATTTTGATAGTCGCTATCTACTTTTTTGTCACTTTTAGGCGTTAAGTAAATAGCAATTTTCATTTAAGCTTGTGTGAGTGATAGCATTTTTATGTTAATCCAAAAAGAAAAAATTGGTCTTTCCAATTTTGACAGTAGCTATCGATTTTTTCTCACCTTTAAGCCTTGAGTAAATAGCTATTTTCATGTAAGCTTGTGTGAGTGATAGCATTTTTATGTTAATTAATGAATAATTATACAAGAACGAACATTATTTAACGTATAACTCGAAACATCAATGTTTATTTACAACTTATGTTTACTTGAGAAAAAAATCAATAGCGACTGTCAAAATTGGAAAGACCAATTTTTTCTTCTTGGAATTTAAAAACAAGAGTTAAGAGTATATTGTGCCAAAATTTCACTGCAATCGCGGGTCTAGAATATATAAATAATTGCAATTGTTTAAATTATTGTTATTAAAGAATTAATTGTTTTGCAAATTTTATTCTGCAAATCTTTCTATTGTAAAGGGAAAAGCTTCAGCAACTCTCAAAAAAAATTGCATCAAATGGGTCGCGAGCTACGAATTTTTCTCTCAAAAATTGCAATATTCTTATAATACCAAAAAAAAACAAAAACGAAGTGCAATTTCGAAAAACCGTCCAAAGTGTATTTTTGTTCTATAATTATCTACAGATTCCCACAATTGTCTTCACTTTCCAGAAAATCAATGAAAATTCATTGACACAGTTGGCGTAGTTTGACTCTTTAGATTTTTAATAATTTTTTTTTCTTGCCGACATTTGGTAAGGGTTTTCGAAAATGCTAAACTACGTTCTGCTAAGAAGGAGTATAGCAATATTTCAGCCTTTTTTGCTTTCATTACATTTTCAATCTTAAAGAAGTCGCCTACTTTTTTCTGACTTTTTACGTTGCTCCAGCTTTTTTGATGCTTTTGCGAGAGTGCGTGTTGCAAGAGATCAGCTCTTCCTGATTTGGCTTTTAATGTGCAATTGCAAACATTACAATAAGCCTCGTACCCTCAAGTGTTTACACAACCAGCCTTTGAACACGGGATTCTTAGTCCAAGAATCCAAAAAAAAGGGCATACCCTTGGTATGCATCATATTTAAGTCATCTGCGTCCAAAGAATAAATATCTTTTGAAGCAACTGCTGCAAAACACAAAGCTTGTAGAGATTTATTAAGAAAATAGTTCCAAATCAGTTCTACATACAAGATTTCGTAACAGAGAAAAATTACTGGGAAGTTAAAAAACGTAATTTTTTACACAAAAAACGTCCAAACGTCAACAGGATACAAAAAACGTCCAAATGACGTTAAAAAGTCAACCTGGAAACGCTGGCCACAACATAACTATTGGGAGCAGCTCATCAGGTGATGGTGGTTGAGGTGATTGGTCAAGGTCTATTGTGGTTTTCGCTTGTTCTGAACTGTACCACTTGGTATGGCCGCTTTTGACACCAGAAAGATCCGGTAGATGGCCTTCTCCAAATCGGTGAGCGGTGAATACCGGAATGGTCCACCACCTGTGGCATGCATGTTGGACGCATTTTCCGCAAATTTCTTCCTTGTGTAGCTTTTAAGATCAGCCCAAATCTGGAAAAACATTACTCAATAGCTCAATTCTTGATACAATTTACTATTTATAAAAAGGAGTTACCTTTTTCCACTCAGTAGCTGTTCTTTGTGGAGGTCCATGTACATTTAATTTATTGGCTAATTCATTCCACTGCAGCTCTACCAGGCTCTTACTCGCACCAAACATTGGAGCGCCTCTTGCCAAGTCTGGATTTTTCTCCAGCTCTTTCACCAGCACATTGAACTGAGCACTGGAAGTTTTTTTGCTTGAATTATCCATTTTAGCGGCTCTCACGATAGCAAAAACCCTTTCGTTTGAATTTGACACTTTTTTTTCTTTATTTGAAGTCGTATTCGTGTTAGAGAATTCACATATGTTACGTTTTCGTTACATAACAATCAGCTGTTATCGACTAGTTACCGCCAGGGTAGCGAATTCGTGTTAGGTAGTACAAATACACGAACAAACGGCTGTTTCGACGAGACGAACGCTCGTCTCGAGATAGAGAATCTGGCTGTAAATCTATGGTTCTATATAATTAAATTTAAAATTCTAAATACTAAGTCAACATTTAATTTATATTCAAATACATTATTATTATTATATGATTTAGAATAAACTTCTATATCATACATCGCTTCCCTATTTTTCTCTATTATAATACTTTAATTTAGTTTTAACTAGCCGACCCGGCGAACTTCGTCCCGCCCATAATTAGATTTTTAATTTAATCGTTTTGGTCTAACATTTTCCAACAGTCCACGATTTCCATTGGCAAATTCATCGGCTAAGATTGTGGTTTGGTGGTCGTTTCCCGCCTTAAATAAACTAACGAAAGTGTTATGTCTATGAAGAAGGTCCACGGCGGCAACAATGATCCGGATCTATAGTGAATTTGCCCTGGAAACTTTATCTTATAGTTGGTGGCATTTTCAAAATGGATGCGTATCCTTGTTCAACAGAAATCCTATAAACGTATATTTGTCTGTGTATTTAGACTTATTTCAGATGAAATACCTTAAAAGCCAGTTTCATGAAAACAAATTATTGAAAAATGATTTTTGTCCGTCAGGTTCCATATTAAATTCAAGTAAAAAAATAAATTTTCATTAAATTGCTTTCATGAAACTGGCTTTTAAGGTATTTGGGTACTGTTTAGTAAGTGGCCCACCTATTTCGGCGTATTGCGTCCAAAGGGGTGACCCGATCCAAAAAAAAATTGCACACACTTGTAGCCAAGAGTCTACCCATTATTTTAACATCCACTATTGTAATTTTTGGTCACTAATTTATTTACAAATTGGGTTTGAAATATGCCCTTTTTTGTAAAATTTGGAAATTAGCGTACATTTATCGCTCCTATTCTCCTTAAAGTAGCCACTTCACCCCTTCGCTTTACACTTTACTCGATTAGTTATAACTTGATATACGACTTTATTATTAACCAATTAATCACAATTCATTAAATAAAAACACCTTCAAAATCACGCGTCTGACTTTGGTTGCAAATTAAATGGCGGAGTTCAGCTGTCAAACTCCGAAATAAGCAAAAGAATGAGAGACAAAAGAAGATAGGATATAACCCAGTAAGCATTAAAAATATACAAAGGTGTTCTCTGCAAAAGGTGTTCAGCTCCTTTTCATCGCAAAACAGAAAGGAGAATTCTACTGCCTGAGGGTTATAATCCCTAAGTGCGGCCGAAGGCCGCCTACGCAGAAAGGTGTTCTCTGCAAAAGGTGTTCAGCCCCCTTTCTTTGGCAACACAGAAGAGAATTCTACGTAGTGAGGGTTATAATCCCTAAGTGCGGCCGAAGGCCGCCTACGCAAAAAGAAGTTCTGCGCTAAAATACTATCATATTACTATTACTACAACATTTCTATCTGTCGCTTTTTTCTTAATTTCACAATATTTTTAGTTAACTTTTTTTCCTTCATTTTTTTTTTAGTTAATTTTTTTTCAAATCGCCTGATAACCAACTTGGGATAATTTCTTTTATTTAAAAATCCCACGGTTTTCGTTAGTTGGGTTATATTCCATTTCAAACTGCTCAGTTTGCCTCGGAAAATGCCGTTTTTACCCCATTTTCAAACGGTTCCCTAGGGGTCTGTGGGAGGTCCCCAAGNTTTTCGTTAGTTGGGTTATATTCCACTTCAAACTGCTCAGTTTGCCTCGGAAAATGCAGTTTTTACCCAATTTTCAAACGGTTCCCTAGGGGTCTGTGGTGGTCCCCAAGGGGGAGGGGGGAGGGGGGCTTTTCGTAAAGTGGCGACTGTCCCCTTTCGAATGAGGGGGGTTTGGGCGGCCATCGCGCGATTTTTTATTCAGGGCTATCACAGAATCCATCGTAGCTTCGATTTTCGTGAAATCTATGAAAGTGCTATCACAGAATCCGAATAGCTACGAACGTAAATTCGAATTTCTTAGAGAGCCTTCATTGAATCCGTTCGTAATGAAGATTCGTACAGATACTCTACGACGAGATTATGCTGTCGGAACAAAATTTAAAATCACTCAATCTTAAAAATAGTAGAANTGGCCAATCCTAACACACAATATACTCAATGGTTCAATAGGCCGATTTAGTCTGGCCTTCACTCGACCTCAGCACCACCTAGCAGCTCTTTTTTGCAATTGGACTGCCTTTACCGTTTTCAATACATGTTTTGAATATTCGCCAAATCGGATCATAAAAAGGATTTTTAGTAATAACTCAACTCCAGCGCCAACTGGCGGGTACAATTGCGAAACTAAACTATCCAGAGACCCACTGAAACACACATACGGCTTGTATGGTAGGTGCCACGCCCCCTTTTCCAATAGGTCCATATTTTCTTAATGACTATGCGATCAATTTCATATATCTCCACACCAAGTTCCAGTACTCTACCAAGAAGAATTCTATAGATATGCAATAAGAAAAATTCGACTTGTATGGGAGGTGCCCCGCTGGTATAAAGTTCCAGTACTCTACCATAAACACTTCCAGAGATACTTATTATGAAAAATTCGGTTTATAAGGGAGGTGACTCGCTCCATTTTCAAATAGACCGAAATTTTATTCATGAGTATGCGATTGATTTCTACTCTACCATGAAGATTTCCAGAGATATACAGTATGAAATATTGCCACGCCCCTTTTCCAATAATTCCAATTTTTCTCCAGGGGTATGTAATTGATTTCATATATTTCCGTACCAAGTTCAAAAATTTCTCTCAAGAGTATGCGATTGATTTCATATACATAGTATCCCCATACTAAGTTCCTATTCTGCTATTTGTAAGGTAGACAAATTCAAGAAACAAATATCATAAAACCTGTTATATGCATGGAGTGGAAGACGATAACAATGTTTAACCGCAGATTAGTGTTAACCAGACATTGAGTAACCGGCCCTAAGAGGTTAGAGTAGTGGTCAGAAAAATCATTATTGCGATATTTTCCCAATAGTTTCATTGCTAAACTCACTTGTACATCACCAGCTAGATGACATGTGTGAGCGAGTGAGCATACTATAAGGCAAATGCGCCCGTGTGTATGCAAGAAAGGGATGCACTATCACACGCCCGGAGAAGTGGTCACTTTTTTCCCCAAGCCCATACAAAANACTCTTTTTTTGCAATGGTATTGTTTTTCCAATTGTCAATACATATCTCGAATANGTACAATTGCGAAACTAAACTATCCAGAGACCCACTGAAACACACATACGGCTTGTATGGTAGGTGCCACGCCCCCTTTTCCAATAGGTCCATATTTTCTTAATGACTATGCGATCAATTTCATATATCTCCACACCAAGTTCCAGTACTCTACCAAGAAGAATTCTATAGATATGCAATAAGAAAAATTCGACTTGTATGGGAGGTGCCCCGCTGGTATAAAGTTCCAGTACTCTACCATAAACACTTCCAGAGATACTTATTATGAAAAATTCGGTTTATAAGGGAGGTGACTCGCTCCATTTTCAAATAGACCGAAATTTTATTCATGAGTATGCGATTGATTTCTACTCTACCATGAAGATTTCCAGAGATATACAGTATGAAATATTGCCACGCCCCTTTTCCAATAATTCCAATTTTTCTCCAGGGGTATGTAATTGATTTCATATATTTCCGTACCAAGTTCAAAAATTTCTCTCAAGAGTATGCGATTGATTTCATATACATAGTATCCCCATACTAAGTTCCAGTACTCTAGCATGAACATTTCGGCGTTCGGTGTAAATTAGGTTTATATGGGAGGTGCCACGCTCCTTTTTCAAATAGTCCGAATTTTTCTTCATGAGTATGCGATTGATTTCATATATCTCCGCACCCAGTTCCAGTGCTGTACCATGAACACTTCCAGAGAAATGCAGTATGAAAAATTCGTATTGTATGGGAGGGCCCACGCGCTTTAACAATACCTAAAATTTTTCTCAAGAGTATGCGATTGATTTCGTATACATAGTACCTCCATACCAAGTTCCAGTACTCTACAATGAACATTTACAGAGATATACAGTGTGAAAAATTCGGCTGTATATGAGGTGCCACGCCCCTTTTCCAATAGCTCCCATTCATATATTTTCGTACCAAGTTCAAAAATTTTACCATGAACGCTTCCACTACTTACTTTGGTTAGGATTAGACATGGGTTAGCCAAGGATAAGAGACATAAGCTTCTTAAAAGTAATAAGGGATTTGATTCTTTTTAATTTTGAGTTGCGTCGTTATTGCAGAGGACCATCGGCATGTGAATTCATATATTTCGATAATGAAATAAATTCGAGCATAAATAAGATTTTTAATTACATATACATATTATTTTTCCTGTTATCAATACATATTTTGAATCTGAGGATAATCGGACCATAAACCCGATTTTTAGTAATAACTCGACTCCAACGCCACTTGGAGACTCTTTTTTTGCAATGGTATTGTTTTTCCAATTGTCAATACATATCTCGAATATGAGACGAATCGGACCATAAACACGATCTTTAGTAATAACTCGACTCCAGCGCCACCTGGCGGCTCTTTTTTTGCCGTGGTATTGTTTTTCCTATTGTCAATACATATATCAAATATGAAGCGAATCGGACCATAAATACGGGTTTTACTAATAACTCGACTCCAGTGCCACCTAGCGGCAGTTTTAATAGTTATTCTGCTATTCGGAAGGTAGGCAAATTCAAGAAACAAATATCATAAAAATCGGTCCAGCNAACAATACCTAAAATTTTTCTCAAGAGTATGCGATTGATTTCGTATACATAGTACCTCCATACCAAGTTCCAGTACTCTACAATGAACATTTACAGAGATATACAGTGTGAAAAATTCGGCTGTATATGAGGTGCCACGCCCCTTTTCCAATAGCTCCCATTCATATATTTTCGTACCAAGTTCAAAAATTTTACCATGAACGCTTCCACTACTTACTTTGGTTAGGATTAGACATGGGTTAGCCAAGGATAAGAGACATAAGCTTCTTAAAAGTAATAAGGGATTTGATTCTTTTTAATTTTGAGTTGCGTCGTTATTGCAGAGGACCATCGGCATGTGAATTCATATATTTCGATAATGAAATAAATTCGAGCATAAATAAGATTTTTAATTACATATACATATTATTTTTCCTGTTATCAATACATATTTTGAATCTGAGGATAATCGGACCATAAACCCGATTTTTAGTAATAACTCGACTCCAACGCCACTTGGAGACTCTTTTTTTGCAATGGTATTGTTTTTCCAATTGTCAATACATATCTCGAATATGAGACGAATCGGACCATAAACACGATCTTTAGTAATAACTCGACTCCAGCGCCACCTGGCGGCTCTTTTTTTGCCGTGGTATTGTTTTTCCTATTGTCAATACATATATCAAATATGAAGCGAATCGGACCATAAATACGGGTTTTACTAATAACTCGACTCCAGTGCCACCTAGCGGCAGTTTTAATAGTTATTCTGCTATTCGGAAGGTAGGCAAATTCAAGAAACAAATATCATAAAAATCGGTCCAGCCGTTCTTGAGTTATAAATGGAGTAACTAACACGACTTTGCTTTATATATATAGATATCTAAACCCCTTCTTTCATATTCCTGTTGGTTTTGGTGTTGCTTCATTATATATTCCTCAATTTCCCAGCCACAAAGTGATAGAAATTGTCCGTTGTCATCCTCTTCATCCCATGTTGTGTTAAAGAAAGCATGGGCTGCTCTGACTGGGATGCACAAAACCTGTAACCGTGGACCCTTATCTTCATCTTCAATACATATGTAAGGGTTTTCCATGTCTTTAAAACACAACATCTCCAGTTCGTAATCGAAGTTGTACTCCCCATAATGCTCGCTAATGAGGATTCGATTAATTCCAGGCATGATGTGCTTTATAAGTATCTTTAAATAAAGTAATAATTTCTGATGTACAGTATTGGCATTGTTCATCGAGCAAGTATGGGCAAGAGCGCAGTTTTCGGGTGTGCCGCAAATGCCCAGTTTCCCGTTTGCACCGATGTATTTTAATTAAAAGAAAGTACACAAGGAAGTTTGTATTAACAAATAGAATTTACAATGGTTTTATTGCTTAATATATTAATAGGTACAATTGTATTTTCAGGTTACGTTATATATGTATATAGTTGGATGAGGCGATGAAAATTTGGTGCCACTGACGTCTTCTCAAAAGGATGTTCGGAAAACAAGTAACAGTCCGTTCTTTTCTTTTTAATGACGTTAGCCCATCGAACGGCTTTCTATGCAAGGGAAATTTTAACATAGCTAGCGTTCGACAATAGAAAGCAGTTAACTGTTGTCTTATGTACAAATGTTAAATATTAGGGTGGCTCTTAAATTGCATATTTAAGACGCTGGCCTTAACATGCCGGCCCCTTGCGGCAAGCAATCTGGAAATTTACGTTTTAAGGTCACCAAGTTTCATAGTTTAGTAAATATGTCTTAAAACTAAAAGCAACGTATCCATTTGTCGAACCTAGATTCTAGAAAAAATGTGAAGGAAGAAAAAAGTCACAATAAAGGCGAGGTTTGAAATTCACAAGCACTTGTTTATTTTCATTTCAATTCATGTTTTCAGATCAGGTTTTAAAAAAAAGTGAATAATAATATTAGAATAAATGTATGATCAGCTGATCGCCCCTTCGTAACAATTCCGGATGGAAATCCGCTTTGAGCTTGGCGGGCGAATGCAGAGAATTCCACTCGTCCGCTTTCGATTTGTCGACGGCGGGGGCGGTAACGCTGATGTCGGGATTTGAAACCTCTCTTATTTTTTGAGGGCTGGAAAGCTACGGTCTCCAGTCCCTCTTGATGGTCTCGCTCATGCTGGAAGTCCGGGCGAAAACGCTTGGGTACTAGCCCCCTCGACCCATCTGGATGGAAAGCGTCGGTTTCCATTCCAGGGGAGTTCGCTGTGAGGAAAGCATCGGTTTCCGCTTCAGGTTCAGGGCTTTCCCCCTCTTTCCGGGCTGGGCGGAAAGCTGAGGTTTCCGCTCCAGCTTCTGACGCCTCTATCGATATGTCGTACCATTTTCCCAATCCTAATTAGAACTTTACGAGGAAAGGAGATTGACAGGTGGTGAGCCATACCGAGGTACAAATTTACGCAATTGATGGGAAAAATGTTTATACCTGGCTTTATGTTGGGGTGGTGAGAGTCGGCAGGGTTCATGGGTACTTTGAGTTGCTTTTCTGATAAATAGGTTGCACAGAAAGTGTGGCGGACCAAAATTAAAATTTAATTGACGGAGAAATCATTATAACTTGACGTAGTAATACCGCATTTTGAAATAGATAATAATAAATAATTATGTATTATTTATTGTTACCCACCCTATCTATTGAAAAAAAATGCATATAACTTCCATTACTACAAGCACTAAATGCACACACACACTATTATGGAAAATGGCAAGTGCAACCCCAGTGTTAGTCATTGAAAGAACTCTCCGCAGTATCGAATTGTTTAGTTCATCGATATCGATAGCACACCAGTACTTCCGGCAATGGCCGGCTTTATTAATGAATTATAACATCCAGTGCACGGACTACAACACTTTATTGGTAGATATACAACTTTTTAGCTGTTTTTTATTTTCTACCATTTCTACCAACAAAGGCTAAAAATCTACCAATATTTTCCCGAAAGAAAGCAAAGAGATTTAAATGAACACAGTGTATACATAATTTATCATGGAACATACCTAAAATAAACATGAGGAGTTAACTTTGACCATAACCAACTGTTTATGGAAATATTTTTCGTTTGCAATATGTTTTTTGTGGGAGGCTGCCAAAGGTGGTGTGCAAACTTAAATCATTTCAAAACTAATTTTAATCAAAAAATTTTGAAGTGCAGAGTAATTGTTTGTTTTATTGTAAAACAGGACCAGAATCAAGACATCCGGGATCGAATCAAATTCGAATGGGAATAGTCTTTACAGCTTTTGGTAGCGAATTCGCTTTTTCAGTTCAAAATGTATTTGAGAGAAAACAGCTGTCATTTTGTTCCATTCGATTCGAATCGTGCCATGACTTGTGCCCAATTTTATGTACTACATATTTATACCTTTTTTGTTGAATGTTTAATTGTTTTATAAAGAAATACAATTTATTCCAAGGCGAATTCATATAATAAGGTGACGGCAAAAGTTCAAAAACAAAAATTCCACTAACAAATTTTACCCATAATGACAATAAGAATTACAACAAATACATCATTTTGACATTAAAAATCCCCAAGGCGAAAATTCAGCTGCTTTGGTAACACCATTTTACCTGAATTAGCTTTCATTTATCCCAAAATGAGTAAAGATTATATAATAATGTTTCTTTTAAAAAAATCTACCAACTTCTACCAATTTTTGTATGCAAAATCTACCAATATTAATTTTTTGTAACTCCGTGCACTGATGACATCGTTTTACGAGCATATCGCAAATGCTCATTAATTAATATTTCGCGTTGTGTATAGTAAATCAAATAAAACACCTCTTTGAGGTAAAATTTTCGAATGACGAAAGCTGAACTAGAAACACAAAATTTATGATATCAATTTCGTGACGAAAATTATACGCATTTTTTAACTGCCTTTGAAACGTAGGGAAAACTTTTTTATTCATACGAATCGTTGCAAAGGTTCTGTTTTTTTATTTTGTGTTTCTAGAAGTAGACGCAATTTTGCAACGTTCCGAATAAAAAAAAAAAAAGATTTTCCGTACGTTTCAAAGGCAGTTAAAAATGCGTATAATTTTCGTCACGAAATTGGTATCATAAATTTTGTGTTTCTAGCTCAGCTTTCGTCATTCGAAAATTTTACCTCAAAGAGGTGTTTTATTTGATATCAGTTATTTTGTGGTAGCAAATTTAAAATCGACGAAAATACAAACAATAAACTAAATGTTTTATTTTTCTCAAATAAATTGCTAAAAATATTCTCTAAATCTAAATTATGTATTCAAATCGATGTGTCCATTGAAACACATAGTTTTTCGAATACGGAATAAAGCAAAAAAGCATGATCAAGGATACGATGATATTAAGGATGATATGTATTCGAAAAAATTAAAAATATAAAAAAATATGAGAAATGATAAAAACTTATCAACTTGGTACCAACTTTGGATACAATAAACAACTGTATTCGTCTGATTACCTTAGTTTAATTGTTGTTAAGATTTCTACTGGGGCGCACACATGTGCTTTTTTTAGAAGTTTTACTTCTATCACGTGTACGGTGTTGCACTCGTGCTATTAAACAAATGATTTTTTCTCAAGTAGTTTTGCTCAGTGGCAATTTATACATATGTATGTAAGTAGTAGCGGCACATTGGGTGAACTAAATGCATTCATACATACATATTTATGTACAACTATAGGTAAATACCAGGTAGGTTAAGTGCGGGTGATAACCCCATGTAGCATAGTTAAATACTGTGTACATACCCGCAATTAAAATGGGAAAGAATGTTACAATTTCGGCATGTGACTGAAAAAAACTCTAAAATACACACAAACTGTGGTTTCCAAGCCATGTACGAAGTGATTAGCACAGCTGCATCCTTCAACTTGTGAACTCGCGGGAAATTCCCCGATTTGCAGGGAATTTCGGTTTCGGCAATCGGGGAATGGGAGATTTTTTTCGGGGAAGTGGGTATGTTATTTTTATATCTTAAAGTAACCAAATTAGACGGATATGTTAATTTTTAACCATTTGACCCTTTTTGGAGCGACATTTTTTCAATTGGAATAGCAATATCTCCACAACAAGAGTTTTCCCAGATAAAAGCTATATACCAGATGAAAGCTAAGGTTTTGAATAAAATGGACTGACCAGTTTTTGAGAAAATGCCCGAAATCTCTATTTTCAGCAGCCCGATTTTTAGCTTTCAGGCGATAACGTTATGGCGTATTTATATTTTATAAACACAAAAGATAGCGTTAGATAGCTTGTTTGAAGACCCTTCTATTGATAACCACATCAATGACATGGACTGCATTACTCAGTGGTAGTTTAAAAAATTGCCTTTTTTTCGAATTTCAGGCAGCAGCCACGCCCACACAGGCATACGTATCAAAACATCCTGGAACAAAACCTTCTTAGTTTTTTATGTGCTTTAATTCCTGAAAGTTTGAAAAAAATTAAATGATGGTACGTACAGACGCTACATACATACCAAAGCATCTCGTAGCGGAGACACGAACCAAAGCTCCTGATAAACAAAAAATTTTCAGGTAAAAATGTCACCGTTTTTGAAATATTTACATTTTTTCGAATTAAAAAAAAATCGTGCCTTTTCATGTGTTTTCTTTAACTGCAACTACAAACCGGGCAATACTTAGTAAATTTTTTATGTAAAATACTTCCAGATAGTTGCCTCTCCATACTCAAATGCAATGTAGTTAAAATATATTAAGGAACCATCATAAAATTAGGACTATTTCTGGATTTTTTACTTATTGATATTTTCTTCCCCAACTTTGACTATCTCGGGTGAAAAAAATGTACTGAGCTATAACTTTACATTACATAAAAAAATTGCTCATTTCATAAAGATTTCAGAAAGGTGCCACACTTACTATTTCGAATAGAAAAAAAAAGTTATAGCCGCTTTTGTGGGTAAAGGACTGAGACACGCTAGAATGTATTTAATAGATTTAAATTGAATTTGCTCTTGTTACCGTCAAATGAAATGCTAAATAGTACAAAGGTACATTATTACGTGCTCCTGGCGTTATTTTATGTTACCTTTCTGAAATCTTTATTAAATTAGCAATTTTTTTATGTAATGTAATGTTATAGCTCAGTACATTTTTTTTCACCAGAGACAGTCAAATTTGGGGAATAAAATATCAAAAAGTTAAAAATCTCAAAATAGTCCTAATTTTATGATGGTTCCTTAATATATTTTAACTACATTGCATTTGAGTATGGAGAGGCAACTATCTGGAAGTATTTTACATAAAAAATTTACTAAGTATTGCCCGGTTTGTAGTTGCAGTTAAAGAAAACACATGAAAAGGCACGATTTTTTTTAAATTCGAAAAAATGTGAATATTTCAAAAACGGTGACACTTTTACCTAAAAATTTTTTGTTTATCAGTGAGCTCACCCCCCACCTACTTTCCCCTAAAGTTTGGCACGTTACTTCTGGGACACCCTGTATAAGCGAGTCATTTCAGCATGCTACTGTGGCTGCTTTCGTCACTCGCGCGCACTGCCGTGCGCTGTGATGTGCGTAAACACGGTTCATTTGTAGCGTGTGAAAGTGAGCCCGACCGATGTGTTAAAATTAAAAAGTAATTCGGTTTTATATTTTTTAATTAACTTTGACTGTGTCACGTGGTTGATTCGTAAGGTATGTCTTTTACCATGATACAAAAAAGAAGGTAGTTCCATTGTCACTTTTTCATCGCCATATTAACATCCTGACAATTAAGTAGATTGTGACATTTCGTGCTACCATACCCAGTATCTAAAACCCTCCAAATTTTTTTTATTAATTTTTTGGTTATTTACAAACATTTTGTTCTTACAGCCCTATTCTAATAAAACCTCACAACTGAGTTGTGAGCAAAATATTGTGAGATTTCTTGTGAGGTCTATATTGTGAGGTTATTCTAGCCCACACCTCACAAGAAAAAAGCTCAACAAAATCACCACACGAGGTGGAAAGCATTTTGCTGTCTAACAGCTGTTTCGTAAATAAAATAAATACAAAAGAAGGTGGCTGAACAACAGGACAAGTAAATATTTTTGCAATTTGTTTATTTTTTTGATAATTACTTATTTTATTTTTTTAGGCGAATTTAAAAATAAATAACAAAGCAGGAGTAGGTCCAGTACTTCACACAGTTTGCAATCCACAACTTGGAGCAAAAGTTTGTACTGAAATGAAATCCTATGCCTGCTCTAACTCTTCCGAAACTGCCGCAAAAACAAGCAATAACTCCGCCATTACTGAATATACTTTTAGTTAAAAAAAAAAAAACATAACATACTGATAACGAACGAAAATTAACAAAACATTCAATTGCTCACTAAAAATCGGCTGTTTTTCTCTTGTGAGGGTCTCATTCGTACATCATACATTTCCTGACAATTGTGAGCGTATGAGCTTTTGAATTTACGCCAGCATAGGGATAACCTCACAACATGATTCAATAATACAAGGTTCGATAAATTGACAGTTGTCTCTCTCGCATCGCTCCCTTAGCAGTGGCACCGTGTTGCTTCTTTGCAAATTTACATGGAAACAGTGTAGCTTTGGTGTGAAATAAAAGTATAAGCTTTTGTGCAATATGTTTATTTGTATATGCATATGAAGCATATTTAACTGATGAAAACATAAGCATTGGATGTTTATATCAATCTCATAGTAGTCTTATTTTAATTTTGAGTCATTTTGCAGTTTTTATACAGCTAAATAGCATATAAATTACGTAATTCACGTAGATATATAAATATTACGTTCAACATTTCGTTTAAAATGCCAGATTTCCTGCAAATACTTTAGAATTTACAAAAGGAATTTCACTACTAATTGCCTACTTTGCGTACTTTT